GTTTTCACAATGGTGGTGGGGTGGGGGAGGAGAAGGGGAAGCACAGCATGATGTTTATTTTTAAAATATCATCGTGCCTTGATCAAAATTTACAGGTTGATTCAAAAACACATATATGGAAATGCACAAGACCTGGAATTGTTAAAGCAATTCTGAAAAAGGACGTATTTGGAGGACTTTCACTACTTGATTTCAAGACTTATTATAAAGCTACTCAAGATTATGTGGTATTGGCATAAGGACAGACAAATAGATGGATGGGACATTGTGGAGAGTCCTGAAATAAACCCATACATATATGGTCAATTGATTTTTTAACAATGTTGCCAAGGCAACTCAATGGGAAAAGAAAAGTCTTTTCAACGAATGGTTCTGGAACAAGTAGATAAATATATAGAAAAAAGTTAACCTTGATCCCTATCTCATACTACACACAAGAATAATTTGAGAGGTATTATATACTTAAACATAAGTTCTAAAATTATAAAGTTTGTAGAAGAACAAAGGGGAATGTCCTTCTGACTCTAGGATGGGCAGAGGTTTTTTAGAGAAGACCCCCAAAATGCTGAACATGTCAAAGAAAAAACTGATAAATTGGTCTTTATAAAAATCAAAAACTGTTTTTCATCAAAATACATTGTTAAAGAGAATAAAAAGGCAATCCACAAACTAGGAAAAAGTATCTGCAGTGCAGTTATCTGAAAAAAATTGTGTTGAGGTATGAAGAATTTGTACCCTGAATATATAAAGAATTCCTAGAGCTCAATGATAAAAGGACAAACAACCCAATCTAAAAAATGGGCAAAGGACCTGAACAGACAATTCATAGAAGTATATATGGCCAATAAGCATAGACAGATGTGCTCAGTACCTTTAGTCATCTGAGAGATGCATATTTAAACCATAACACTCCCTCTAGAATAGCTAAAAATTGAGTAGATGCACAGGACTGACAAGGATGTGGAGAAACCAGAAGTCTTCTATATTGTTGATAGTAGTGTAAAATGATCTAGCCATTTGAAAAACTATTTGGTGGTTCCTTACAATATTAAACACAAACCTACCCTTTAACCCAGCAATTGCACCCCTGGGAATTTACAGAAGAGAAATGGAAACATATGTCCACAAAAAAACTTTTACATGAATGTGTATATCAGCTTTACTCATAATAACCCCAGACTGGAAAGAACACAAATGCTCATCAGTAGGAGATTGGACAAATTGTGGAATATTCATAGATGGAAAACTACTGAGACACACAAATCAACAGGGATGCCTTATTTACATGAAAGAAGGCAGACACAAAAAGGTACATTCTGTGTGATTCAATTTATGTAAATTAAAGAACAGGCAAAGTTAATGGATGATGATAATATGGGAACAGTGGTTGCCTGTAGGGGTGGGGACTCTGAAAAGGGGCTTGAGGACACTTTCTGGAGGAGATGGGAACATTCTATAATCTTAATTGGCATGATGGTTACACAGGTAGATAACTGATCAGAACTCATGTGCTTAAGCTCTGTGCATTTCACTATATGTTTTACCTTAATAATAATAAAAAAGATCATAGTGTCTGATGTTTGGGGCAGAGTAGAGGCAGGGAGGCCAGCTGGGAGGCTGTTATGATAGTCTCTAGGCACAAGGTGGTGGTGGGAGATGTATGAATTGACTTGGGATCTCTTTTCAAGGGAGGGTCAAGGACTGGTTAGCATAGTAGGCAAGAGTCTCATTCAGGCTGGCCCCGTATGACTGGTCCCTGAAGCCAATTTATTTATTTTATTTATATATTTTACGCTGCCCCTTCTTTTTCTAAAACAATTCAAGGTTAATTATAACAAAGGTCATGTATTCAATTAAGACTGAGAAAACATAACCAAAATAGAAAACTGAAACCAGAAGGTAGAAGCAGGAAACATGCCAGTTTGGGAACTGATAATAGAGAACTAAGATCAGGAAACACTTTCTGTCCAGTACCCTTGGCTGGGGCTGCAGATGGGTTGCAAAGGAGGTGGTGGGGGTCTTTTAATATCAGAGAAAAGACGGCTCAAGCTGTGTTGAGTCAAGATGATTTTAGTTGAAGAAGAATATATGACTTGTGGAGACTCTCTGGGCTTATAAAACCAAAAACGCACATTTTTGTAGAACTTGATTTAACACAGAATATTGTAACACAAAGGTCTGATACATGGAGTGCTCTCTAAAGAAATGGGGGGGGCGTATTTTAGGGAAAACTACCTTTCTTCTGTTTGAGACAATCTATCATGCAGAAATATAAATAGCATGGGGTGTAATTTAGGATAAAATATAAGCTTAAGCATATTCTCCATACGTTTATGGAATCATTATCATTTAAAATTAATACAAACTAACATTCTGACATGGGAATTGAGTTTGGTTTGAATATATCCAGTCTAAATGAAGGCAGCTATTGATATGTAGAAATACTGCAAAAATGTATGTCAAAAAACACATGTTGATTCTTTATTGATCATTATCAGTACAGACAATTTACTATGTTGTCAGTTGAATGAGAAGGGAAACTTGTCGATATTAGACATTCTTTAATTAAGAACATTTAATGAATCAGAAATGAAAGAATTGAAAAAAAGGGAGAATTTGTGTGGAGAAGATATTAAAAATATATGCCAGTAAGGCAGTCGATCAAATTAAGCCTAGTCTTAGTTCTGGAAATTTTGCTTGACTTCTTAAAATAAACCAGTCCAAATGATTGCTGAAATCACCATCAGAGGATTAATGGCAAACTCATATTGGCATTGCCCATCAGATCTAATAGCAAAGATTGCTGACTTGTGCAGAGATTGGGCAAGGAAAATAATCATCATAAATAATTCATAATGCACTAAGATGGCTAAGCTTGGGGTTGATTCTTTAGCAAATGTGATTGAATTTATTTCAAACTCGTGAGTAAAAATGACCACAGTTGGACAGCATTAATGACAAAGGCATGCTCTTGCATCAACAGTAGAAATGGAGGGAATGAAATATGAAGAAAACTATGACCAGTTGGGGATTCTGAGGGATTTACTTACTCCTGATGGTTTAGGTTTGGCCACAACAGAGCAGGTGGTTTAAGGTAAGGAAGGGTTTGTTGTAATGATGTAGGATGGGGTGACTCTCAGGAAGATCACTTGGGCACTGGGATGTGTTGATGTCAGGTGTCCTCTGGGGACAAGGCTGGTGGTACAAAATAAGGGTGCACTGACAATAAAGTCTGGGCCACCCAGGGTCCTGGGGCTTCTATCAGCTTCAGAGTGAGGGGTGGGGGCAAGATGTCCATATGAGGAATCTGAAGATCTTGTTTCTGGCCTTGCCTTTCCACTTACTAGGGGATCCTGGTTGTACAAGTCTTCTGACCTCCCGAGTCTAGACTTTTCTGTTACATGGGGTCTGTACTTCCTTTCTTGCTTAGCCTCTCATGGAGGGTTGTGAGGATCCACAGGATAGAGGATACATGGGCCCTCTGAAAAAGTCTGCAAATATCCACTACAGTTTTTTTTTTTTTTTTTTTTTAATTATTTGCTGATAACTACCTCTCCAGTTAGGATTTGAAGCTGGAGCCATGCAATGGTTCATGCTCAGGCTGGAGTTATTTTAAGAAATAACCAATACAAGATGCATTGGGTTGGAGCCACCATAAAAGTCATAAATCTTGACAGCCTGCTGTTTGATAAAATTAATAATGCTTGAAAGAAACATTGTAAAAACCTACAGGAGGAGAAAACCTAGTGCGTTTTGGGGAAAGAGCTTAAGCCATTGTGGAAACTGAGAGTCACCCTAGGAAGGTTGGTTACCATCCTGATGCCAGTAGGGCAGTTTTCAGGCACAGGTCCACACAGGCACGCACGCGTGTGCACACACCACACACGTACACACACGTACACAAGGGTAACAAGCACCAGCTTTGTTGGCTGGGTCTCAGAAGAGACTGGAGAATAAGGAAGACTAACATTAATTCCAACAGTGGATAATTGCAATCTGCACACTCAGGGGCCCACCACCTTCTAAGGAAATGCCGCCTGCCTCTGACTTTTAAAAATAAAATAGCCTTGGGCGCCTGGGTGGCTCAGTCGGTTAAGCGGCTGCCTTCGGCTCAGGTCATGATCCCAGGGTCCTGGGATCGAGGCCCGCATCGGGCTCCCTGCTCTGCGGGGAGCCTGCTTCTCCCTCTCCCTCTGCCTGCTTCTCTGCCTACTTGTGTTCTCTATCTTTCTGTCAAATAAATAAATAACATCTTTAAAAAAATAAAATAAAAATAAAATAGGCTCAGCGTTTTTGCCCTGTCCCATTTCTCGCTGGTGAAGAGTATGCTCGCGTAGCTTTGGGATTTGTGGCTGTTGTATACAGCGACAGAGAGGAGGGCAGTGAAGGGGGACTGGGACCTCATGGTGTTTAGTATATCCAAGCCCTGAGATGGTCTACGGCTAGAAAGGAAGGTGAAGACTATTGCTTTTCCTGTATACACAATGTTCCCAAACCTTCCGGATCCTCTGTCTTCCCACCAGGGTTGTCGCGGGGACTGGAGCCGGGCGTCCCCTGTTGGTGGGAGCATTGGTCCACCCCACGTGGAGACGCTGCAGGCCCGCGTTGCTAGGCAGAACCGTCGTTGCTAGGGAGAACCCGCCGTTGCTAGGCGGAAGCGTGGAGGGTGTTGGGCTCCGGGGAGCCTCGAGGGACAAACTGGGTTAAGGAAGCACAGGGCCCCAGGGGAGTCTGTCAGCAGCCTGCCCTCCGCGGGGATGAAGTCGGCTCTCCTCTTAGGTGGTCAGAGACTGGAAGGCCACGTTAAAAACCTGGATGAAAACGTTTATTTCAGTAGCGTCATGGGCGTATTTATAATTTAAAAATTGCTTTTAAGTTGCGGTGGAGTTTTATTAATAAAGTAACATACGTTTATTATAAAGATGTTAAGTTAAATTAAAATGTTAATTTAATTTTAAAACCATAAGGAAACCTTAACATTGGGTCTGTCATGTTTTCAGGCAGAGAAAACAAGGAATTTTGTCAGTCGAAGCCTGGTCATAGGAGAAGTCCTCTCCATAGCGGACATGGCCACAGGAGTAAAGGTGAGAGGCTCTGGGCACCCTGCCCTTCACGAGCTGCTACTTAGTTTTTTGTTTTTTTTTTTTTAAAGATTTTATTTATTTATTTGAGAGAGAGAGCTCATGAGAGGGGGGAGGGTCAGAGGGAGAAGCAGACTCCCCGCCGAGCAGGGAGCCCGATGCGGGACTCGATCCCGGGACTCCAGGATCATGACCTGAGCCGAAGGCAGTCGCTTAACCAACTGAGCCACCCAGGTGCCCCTGCTACTTAGTTTTGAACGACAAGGAGCACAAAGTAGAACCCCACAGGTATCAGTCTGTTTACTGGAACAGATGTTTGTAAAATGGTACACCTTATAACCCATCCCCCTGATTTCCTCTTTAACCATTATATTCAACCTCGTGCTTGTTTGCTCTTGGCTTTTCTTTTTGTTTAGTTGTACTGTACTGTCAAGCAATTATTTTCATTTGTTCTAATTTTTAGAAAAAGTCTCATAATGATTCATGGTTTACTTTCTTCACTTAAATGTGATCATCAAGATCAATCTGTATTGTGGCATGCCACGCCTTTGGACTTGTTTTTTTAAGTATTTTTATTCTGAAATAATAATGCTCGCAGGAAGTTACAAGAATAATACGTAGAGTTATATGAACTCTTCACCCAGTTTCCCTCTGTAGTGACATCTTATACAGCTGTAATGCAATGTAAAAGCAGTAAATCACCACTGCTACAGTACTGTTCTAGTATAGTACTAGACTATAGACCTGCTTCAGATTTCACTAGCTTTTACATATACCCCAGTGTGTGTGTGTGTGTGTGTGTGTGTGTGTGTGTAGTTCTATGCAGTTTGGTCCTATATATGGATTCATGCTGTTTCATCACCACAAAGAAACTTACAGTGCTACCCATTTGCAGTTGCAACCAATCCCCACCTCATTCTTGTTCTTAGGCTACCACTAATCTATTCTCTATAATTTCACCATTTTGAGAATGATATATGGATGGAAGTTCATTCATTTCTCATATTCCTTTGTGTGAATATGCTACAACACTTGGAGTTCTTAGCCTTCTTCATTTTGCTGTTCATATGGGTATAAAATGGCATTGCACTGTGGACTTGCTTTGTGTGTCCCAGCGCATCAGGAATGGTGAACAGAATAGTCCAGCAGGTGTGATGGCCATGGCTCCTCATGGTACCCTAAGTCCCCAGTGGAGGGCCATTTGTGTAGGCCTGCATATGCTCTCCTTTCTCTCCCTGGACACCACGGTGCCTCAAAATAGTCCCTGCATCCAAATATTCAGTCCTGATGTCCCCAAAGGGGAGAAATAACTAGAACATGAAGAGAGAATGATCAGACAGGAAAGCCAGGTCAATCGTTGGTGAGTCCAAAATGGCAGTTATTTTTGTTTTTGCCTTGTAGACATTTAGGAATTAAAAACAAAGAAAATTGTGAGTTCATCGGTGGTGAAGGCACCCACCATTAGATCCTTTGGGGGAGACTGGCTTCCCTGTGATTTCAGCCAGGCAAGGTCTCTTTCCTCCTAGTTGGGTTGGCTGTGGCTTCCAGACAGCTGAGATGCAACAAATAGATTCCCCTCTCAGAAATACTAGAGTTGCCTGATCCTGATCTAGACTCATGATCCTCAGTTTGTGTTTTTTTCCATTGCTCTCTACCTTCTTCTTTTCAGCAAGCCTGTGGTGGGATGTGACCATGCAGAAATCTCCAATGGGTGGTCCAGCATTCTAGGTGGGGAGCCCTCTCCTCGGCATCTTTAGGGTCTTGCACTGACCCTAGTGCCTAGAATTACACAGGGAATGTTTGAATGAATAAGGGAGGAGCAGCCTGCAGTTTAAAGCAGACTTAAGAAACATTTAGACCACTTGCAATGTGGACATTATTTAGATTCTGGTTCAAACAAACCTTAAAGAAAAACTATGTGTCAGTGGGGGAAATGTAAACATTGGATATTTGGTCATATTAAAGAATTATATTTTTAGGTGGGGTAATGGTTTTAGGGTTACATTTTTAGAAAGACTCTTTATCATTTACAGATGTATAGGACATATTTAGGGATGAAATGACAGGATGTCTAGGATAAACTTTAAGATTACCTGGGGTGTAGAGTGGGAAAGTGGATTGGGGGATAAAGCAAAATGGACCATGAGCTGGTCATAGCTGAGTTCATTATACTCTTGTATTTTGGTTGAATTTTTCCAAAATAAAAAGCTTTTAAAAAAGTTTTGCTCCTGAGTATCCTAGAAGAAAATATGAATAGATTTAAAGATAGGTCTTGGGGCGCCTGGTGGTTCAGTCAAGTGTCTGACTCTTGATTTTGGTTCAGGTCATGAGCTCAGGGTTATGGGATCAAGCCTGCATCAGGCTCTGGGCTCAGCAGGGAGTCTGCTGGAGATTCTCTCTCTCCCTCTCCCTATCCCTCTTCCCCACCCCACCCCCTGCTCTTTCTCTCTCAAATAAATAAATCTTTTAAAAAAAGAAAGAGGTCTTTAAAAATGCTTCTCTGATCATGTCACTCCTCTGCTTAAAACTTCTCCTTATGCTTTAGAGAAGCCCTCCTATTTTTGATATGGCCCACGGATTCTTGTGTGGTTTGGCCCTACTCACTTCTCCAGATACCTTCTGTCTCACTTTGTCCTCCTCCCTAGGAGACCTGACATATTGGCCTTCCTTCATTCTTCTCATCCACTTTTGGGCCACTCTTGCCATCACTGTAGAATGGATTTTTTCCCCTCCTTCACCTGCCTGACACCTGGTCATTCTTCAAGTCCCAGACCAAGTGTCCTCCCCTCAGGGAAGCCTCCCTCAAGACTGCAATTTAAATCCTATCTACTTGTCATCTGTCTTTGTACCTTTCAGTTGTCGGCCACAGTATGTACCTACTTTGATCTTCTGAATTTAGTCATGTGTCTAATTGCTGTATGTCTCTTAGCACCACCAGAGGGCAAATTTCTTGAAGATGGTCATCCCCTACATTCTTGTTAATATAGTGTCAATACAGGAGAATTAAATGAATACGTAGAATCGAAACGGGCCTTACTAGAAAGGTTAAATGTAGAATTACCACATGAGTCAGGAAATCCATTCCTAGGTATATACCCCCAAAAATTGAAAACAGGGACTCAAACAGATACTTGTATGCCAATGTTCATTGCAGCATTATTCACAATAGCTAAAGGGTGGAAACAAACCAAATGTCTGTCAACGAAGAATGGATAAACAAAATGTACATACATATGATGGAATGAACTTCTGGTACATGTTACAACATGGATGAACTTTGAAAACATGACTCTAAGTGAAATAAGCCAGACACAACAGGACAAATATTGTATGATTCCACTTACATGAAATTTCTTGAATAGGCAAATTCGTAGAGACCGAAAGTAGATTATGGGTTACAAGAGGCTGGAGGAGCAAAAGAATGCGGAGTGGTGGCAGGGCACAGAGTTCCTGTTTGGGGTGATGAAAGAGTTTTGGAGATAGATAGTGGTGATGGTCGCACAACAGTGTGAATCTAATTCATACCATTGAATTGTATACTTAATAATGGCTTAAACGCAAACTTTATGTTAAATGCATTGTGCCTCAATAAAAACAAACTTTAGAAGTTTAACAAAAGTTATCATGAACCCTGTTTGCTTTCCCACACATCATTTATTGCAGAGGACTTGTTTTTCTTGTGCTTGGATATCCCAGACAGTTAGAGGAATGTGTAGATGATGCTCCCGAGTCCAGCCCAGAGGGCCGTGTCTGTCTTTCTTTTGGGCAATGGAGGGAGATGTGGTGTGCTCAGAACAGTTCCTGTGAGCCCTGGGTTGGTCAGGGTATCCCCAGACCTCGCTGCCAGCCCACGAGCAGCTGGTAGCCTCTACCTGCTTTCCTTTTACACCTGCACATGAGCTGGCTGTCAGCCTGACGAGGGAGTGTTCGCAGCAGTTCATCTAAGTCTTCTGTGCCCCACAGGCCTGGGCCCCTTTTCTCTCTCCCTCCACATCTGTGTTATCCAAAGGCTCTGGGTGTCCCTGAGCATTTTAGACAAACATAGATGGACTAACACAGCCAAGTGGTGGCAGGGCCAGGGGCTGGCTCTGAGAATGACTCACAATGAGGTTGGGGTGGGGGGTGGGGTGGGAAAGTGAGAGGTGCCAAGAAAAGACTTCCTTTACTGAGGGCTTTGAATCCCTGCTTTAGCTTGGGAGCCAGCCCAAGGTCTTCTACCAGACACGCTGATGCAGTCTGGAAGGACTCTAGGGCCCAAAGAAATAGGACATTCTTCCTTTTCTTATTCCCTTTTTTCTTTATCTGACCCACCCTACTATCTGTCTTAGTTTGTTTGGGCTGCCATGATAAAATACTATAGTTCATGTGGCTTAAATAACAGAAATTAATTTTCTCACAGTTCTGGAGGCTGGCAAGATCAAGGTCCAGGTGATTCAATTCCTGGTGAGGACTCTCTTCCTGGCTGCCTTCTTGCTGTGTCCTCACATTGGGTTTGGGCAGAGAGAGACAGACAGAGAGAGCACTCTCTGGTATCTCTTATAAGGGCACTAATCCCATCATGAAGGTTCCACTCATGGCCTCATTTAAATTTAATTAGTTCCCAAAGACCCCATATCCTAATACCATCACATTGAGGGTTAAGGCTTCAGCATATGCATTTTGGGGGAAACACAATGCCGTCCACAGCACTATCCTTTCTGGGGTCACCATTGTGTCAAAAACCACTTGCAGTGCCTCAGTGTGTTCCATTTGCTCTTGGAATGAAAAGAGTCTGAATGTACTCGAAGGTTCTTTAGGGGACCCACTGTTGGACGATGGTGTAGGAAGGGCCTGGCCTATCACAGCCATTACACTGGCAGACTTCCTGGCATGCATGACAGACCTGCCTGGTCCATCGTGGCAGGGAGACAGTCAGAATGACGTGGGTTTACTTCCTGTCTCTAGGACTTCACAGTCAAAGTTCACGAACATTCCTTTTAATCTAAGCTCATGATGGGAGATCTTTGTTTTCTCTTCTGCTAATGCCCATTTGTGGGCTGTGTTCAGATTTCAATTGATGATGCCTATGAGGAGCTGCATGCTATGGCTGGCATGTAGCAGGAGCTTGATAAGTGGCCGGGATGGTACCCCCCACAAGATGTGGCCCAGCCCTTCCTGGCAGTCTTCTAGGTAGTGGCTCAGTTAGTGGATTGAGGTGAAATCAAACTGTGTTCCAGCTCCAGCCCACTCGCTTTCTCTGCCATGGAGGGACATGTTAGTCATCATTTGGCAGTGAAGAGGCCCCATCCTTGAACCCCCTCAGCCTGTCCTGACCGCAATTCCCAACCCCCAGGGAGCTCTGACCATGGCCTCCAGAGGCTACTCCCGGGCATCATTGGGCGTGTTGTGCTCATGACCTCACGTACCTGATGTAGCTGTCCTTCTCCTCCTCCAGACGAATGAGAAAGGAGAGAGGGAGCTTTCCCAAACAAACAGTGCAAGGTGTGTATAGATTTAGAGATTTTGTTAGGTGTCCTCCCCTTTGTTTTATTTCCTTGCCACTGTTTTCTTTGGTCTTTCTCAGAACAAATAGACTTCTCTGGGTCCTGTCTGCTGAGGTGGGCTGGAGGCCAGGGTGCTCACTGGGCAGTGAAGGCAGTGAGAGGACACTTGGCCCTGCTCCCTTGTGATAGGTTAGTGCCCTACTTCATTCAGTTTCTGCATCCCTGTCTTAGTGAATCCATCCCCTCCACCCTGCCTCCTCTTGCAAGCAACCCCTCACCCGGTCCCCACCAAGCAGTTAATGGGCTTTCATCCATCTGGAGTCTCAGGCTAAAAACTCAGGTGTCACCTAGAGTCCTCTCTTGCCTTCTTCTCCCAAATCCAACCCATCAGCTCTGTCTTCAGAATCTACCTTGAATACCCTTGCTTCTCACCAACGTAGTCTGGCCACTGCTCACTGGCTTACCTCAGTGGTTGCTTGGTGGGCACCTCCTTTCTGCTGGCTGGGCTGGGGTCTGTGCTCCTCACAGGAGGCACCTGCTGAAAGCTTGTGTCAGGTGAGAGAGTCATTTGCTTGGAACCCTCAGGTGCTTCCCCTGCATTGGCCCCATTGGGTCAGATTATCTGCCTTTCAGAGAATGTGGCTTTGGCAACACACTGAACAGCACTTAGGGGAAAATCCTCACATTTTAAGTGACTGTGTGGATTGGGGTCACTCAGATACCACCTCTGTTAACTACTGCAGTTTCTGCAAACCTACAAATTTCATTCACCAGCCCACTGCTCCTACTAATGACATTTAATGAATGGAAGTTTTCAAAATGTGGATAAAATATTCTCCCCAACTCCCCTTTCTAAAGAGGAGGAAGGATTTAAAATCTAGAGAAGGAATATATTTGTAAAGAATGCATTAGCCACCAACTAGAGAGATTTAGGGGTGGAGAATTCAACCTGTTTTAGTTTTAGAAAAATGCTTTTTTTAACTTGATTTCCAAGATGATTTATGGGGAAAAAAATTAATATTTAGATTGATTGCATCTTCCTGGGTTGGAATTAGTAATGTGATTTTCCGTGTCGTGATGATTCTGAGGATGCTTTATGATTCTCCAAATGAAAGCACTTCATATGTCAGATGTGATTAATGAAATCCATCTGTCATGATGTCAGAGCTGTTAAAGTTGGTAAAGTGCCCTTTCAGACAGTTAGTGTCAGGCCAATCACACACGTGGAGTGTGGGGACTGGTTCTTGCCAGAGGCTGGTGACAGTTCTTGGGTGGGAGCATCTGAAGATTCCATTCCTGCCATTTCCCTTCCTGCAGGGTCTTCCTTGGGGTTACTGTGTCCACTAAAGCTCATTCAACTGTAATGACCCCAGGGAAAAAGGGTATACCTATTGGCTGTTGTAACTGAAGAGTCCAGAGTGCAGCAGGTGTGGATATGTGGGACCTGGTCTCTCTCATGTCTCTGCTTTGTCTCCTTCTCCCTACTGTGACTTCATGTGTTGGTTTCATACACCAGCTCTCATGATGGCAAGAGCAGCCAGCAGCACTAGGCCTCCATGCTTCCAGATTCCATTGCAATGAAAAAGAGAGAGCTTCTTTTGCCTACTAGCTCACCCATGTGTCCCAGAGGATGCTATGGTTGGACCCACCCAGAGCATAGGTCTATGCTGAAGCCATCCCCTGTGGCCAGGATATTATAGATATTATGCAGATCGGCCAGTCCTGGTCCTAGGCTCATCCTAGAGTTGGGGGTGGAGGTCAACATCAGCCACAAACCACTTGGACTGACTGTGGGAGAGGAGGGCTCCCCAGAGGAAAGCCGGGGTTGGGTGGCTGGGCAGAGGAAGGCATGCTAACCTGCAGACACAGCCAGTGTCTATACACTTGAGCTCTTCTGTCTTTGTCATCAGTCCCCTACTCTCCTCAAATGGCCCCACTCCAGCTACCCTTCCTTTTCATCTTCCTCCTCATCTTTCTCCTCCTCCACTTCCTCCTTGCCAGCAACACTTTTCCAGGGTTTATAAAAGACCAAAGTACTTGGCAGTTGATGGTCACTGAATTCTCGCAGCAACCTTATGAAGGGCTATTAGGCATTAGGCAGCTTGGGTTTGGACCCCAGCCCTGCTCACCATCTCAGGGTACAGCCTTGGACAGGTCACTCCTCTCTCTGAACCTCAGTGTCCTTGTCTGTCAAGTGAGGGTGATGAGGTGTTTTTCCCATTGTGGTTGTGAGAATCACAACCTTGTGATTGTGCGTATGAAGCTCAATGCTTAGAAGGGTGACTGTTCAGTAAGTGGGAGCACTCATCACTCACTGCATTTGTCAGATGTGGAAACTGAGGATTGCCATTTGTTGAAGGTTCCTCAGCCAGCGGGTAGCTGAGGGGGGCTTTGAGCCCAGGCTATCTCATCCCCGGCTGAGTGCCTGCTCATTATGCAGCATTGCGTTTTTCATCCGCTTTCCTGTTTGCTGACTGTTTCTCATGGTAGGGCTCACCTCTGCAGACTGGGCCAGTGCCTGGGATCAGTGCACAAAACTTTGTTACACATCTTCTACATACGAGGCACTAAGCTAGCCCCTGAGCAGATGAGGCAGACTGAACGTTCAGAAGTGTCTTTTGAGAGAAAAACAAAACTGGAGGTATCACAATTCCAGATTTCAAGTTATATTACAAAGTTGTAGTAATTAAAACTGTATGTGTTACTGGCATAAGAACGGAGATGTAGGTCAATGGAATAGAACAGAAAACCCAGAAATAAACCCACAATTATATGATCAATTAATCTTTGACAAAGGAGGAATGAATATACAATGGGAAAAAGACAGTCTCTTCAACAAATGGTGTTGGGAAAACTAGACAGCCACATGTAGAAGAATGAAACTGGACCACTTTAACCATACACAAAAATAAACTCAAAATGGATTGAAGAACATAAATGTGAGACATGAAACCATAAAAATACTAGAAGACAGCACAGGCAGTAATCTTTCTGACCTTGGCTGTGGCAACATTTTTCTCGGTATGTCTCCTGAGGCAAGGCACATAAAAGAAAAAATTAATTACTAGGACTACATCAAAACAAAATGTTTCTGCACAGTGAAAGAAACAATTAACAAAACTAAAGTCAACCTACTGAATGGGAAAATATATTTGTAAATGACATATTCAATAAAGGATTAATATTCAAAATATATAAAGAACTAATACAACTCAATACCCCCAAAACAGATAATTCAATTCAAAAATGGGCAGAAGACATGAACAGACATTTCTCTAAAGAAGACACACAGATAGCCAGCAGGCACATGAAAAGGTGCTCAATATCACTCATCATCAGGGAAATGCAAATCAAAACTACAATGAGATATCACTTCACACCTGTCAGAATGGCTAAAATAAAAAACACAAGAAAACAGGTGTCAGCGAGGATGTGGAGAAAAAGGAACCCTCGTGCACTGCTGGTGGGGATGTGAACTGGTGCAGTCACTGTGAGAAACGGTATAGTTTTCTCAAAAAGTTAAAGATAGAAACTACCCTACAATCTAGTAATTGCACTACTGGGTATTTACCCCCAAAATACAAAAACACTAATTCGAAGGGATACTTACACCTCTATGTTTATAGCAGCATTATCTACAATAGCCAAACTATGGAAGCAGCCCAAGAGTCCATCGACTGATGAATGGATAAAGACAATGTGGTGTATATATGCAATGGAATATCACTCAGCCATAAAAAAGAATGAAATCTTGCCATTTGCAACAACATAAATGGAGCTAAAGAGTACAATGCTAAGCAAAATAAGTCAGTCAGAGAAAGACAAATACCATATGATTTCACTCACATGTGGAATTTAAGAAACAAAACAAATGAGCAAAGGCAAAAAAAGAGAGAGACAAACTAAGAAACAGACTCTTAACTATAGAGAACAAACTGATGGTTACCGAGAGGTGGGTGAGGGGATAGGGGAAACAGGGGATGGGGATTAAAGAGTGCTCTTATCATGATGAAATAAAATGAAAAAAAAAAAAAGTAATTTGCTGGGCTGAACTGGATGAAGGACTGATGCTTTGTGGTGTTGGGGTGGCCTGTCCAAGAGAGACAACCATGAGCTATGCCTGCAGAAAGGTACTAGAGCATCCCAGGCAATAAAGGGGAAGGGCATGGATGCTTTGCCACTTGTGAGGCTTATGTAAAGCTTGATGACCTGAACAAATTCTCCTTGAATGGAGTTTGGCCAGGGGTTTAGTTGTCATTAAATTGTTGACTCTCGCTGACAATGGTCTATATTGTCCTTGCTTTCAGTGTGGAATAATTTATTGGCTATTTGGTGGTGCTGTCAGGAACCTTGGAAGCCCAGAACATGTCACTAAGTGGCTTCAGCCACTCCAGGTATGGCAGGTACCTCAAGAGATGTCTTCTTCTATGGAGAGCCTTAATTCATACTAACTAGATGTGTACGTGTGTGCATGTTTGCAGAGAAAGAAAATAAACCAGAGAATTAGTGTCAGCGAGAATCTTGTTCAGAATGAGAATTTCAAGACTATTTTTTAAAAGAATTGTCATGTTGTTATCACATTAGCTGTTACCAGGCTGAACTCTTACAATTATCTCCACCTCACTGCTCCCTCTCTCACCCACATCCTTGATGATCAGAGGTCTGCAGTTAGAGCAAGCATCGACGAGCTAATTCCCTTCTAACATTTGGTAAACTCCAGGAGCAGAAATACACTGGGATGTTTGCAATGACCGAGAGGGGCCATGGGAGCAACGTGAGAGGGATCCAGACCGAAGCCACCTTTGACCTCTCTGCACAGGTGAGCATTCTGCCCATCGTTTCACAGTGCAGGGCGGCAGGAAACCTGTTGAGGACCAGACTCTCCTTCTTCCTGAGGCCAACCTCACATCTTCTGCGTGTGCTCTCTGACCTGAGGCACTCAGATTTAGAACAATTGCCCAAGTGCTTTAGTGGAGGGGGACATATGCTCAGCCTTCATGTGTCTAATGACGGACAACACTTTCTCAGCTCCTACCATGTGCCGGCACTGCTTTGTGCACTTTACCTGCTCTTTTAATTGGACGCCTTGTGACCACTCTGTGAGAACAGTACCAGCGCCATTTTGTCATCCTTCCCACCCGCAGTGGGTAAATGACTGGAAGAGATGCTTTTGTTTGTATTCCCTTTGCACCATGTGGCAGGAGGGCACCGTGTGTGCTGGTGTTTCCTTACCAGGAACCAAGCCCTTGTTACTGGCAGGAAGCAGTGTTTTTAACTGTGACCGACACAAAACTTCACATGGCAACCCAAACAGAATTTCACAAAACAATCTTGCTTTTACTATCGTTAGTATATGTGGTGAACTTCATTAGTTTGTTTTCCATTCTCATTAATAAAAAACAGTTCTTCAAGACACTCTAAATTGATCCCTCTCCACGAATGCGTCACAGCCCGCAGGGCGAAAACCCTGCTCTATAAATCTAAAGAAGTCTCTATTTCTTTAGCTCCTACTCCCTCCGAATAAAGAAACTATTTACTTCTTTCACTCTCCTTCATAGTTCCTTGTTTGATATTGGGTTTTCCTAAGAATGACAAAGGAATACATACATTTTGAAGTTCTTTCTAGACATGGGTTTGGGTAAATATATGTGTGCAAGCATGGGGCAGGAGTGTAGGTGTGGCTACTCAGTCTATTCTTCATTTTTGCTGAGTTTGTCCTTTAGAATCTGAACTTTGGTTAGCAGGTTTTCCTGCCCCACAAGCGCTAGTTAGAGGTGATCAGGGTTTAGAATGACAGATTCAAGCGAGGGTTGTATTAGAATATGTTCATCCTGTCCTTCTGCCCAGATGCTAGTTCTCTACAATAGTCAGTGATGTCCAAGGTCATACATAGCAAGAATAAGGACTGAACTGAATGTTCACTATGTGCCAGGCTCTGTATCGAACACCTTCTGTATACTTTACCGTATTCCCTCGCAATAACCATCCCATAACATGACGGTAAGCCACTTCTGGTAATTTAGCACGTATGTGTTAGACATCAGGCTAAGCACTCTACGTGTAACATTGTGTTAAATATCCTATAGTTTTCTAGGAAGATACTATTGTCCCTATTTAATAGGTGGAGAAACTGAGGCTCACAGAGGTTAGGAAACTGACTCTGAATCTGCAGTTAATGAGCGAGTCTGCTTCAAGTGGGACTGCCCCTAAGAGCTTAGCTTTCCTGCCAATGGTGATGTGCCAACCAAGCATCTCTTGAGTGTTTGGTTGGTCAGTTTTTTCTTTCCCTAAACCAAGTGAGGTCACCTTGCTCTCTGGAAAAAAGAAACCCCACCCAGAATTCTTATTTATTTTTTTCTTCTTACAGTTATTATTTTTTCCCACAAAAATCATTTCCCTGGGCGGGTCCCATTTTCCCCAAACAACATAAATGATTTAGCTACCTGGCGTGCTTCGGCAGCTGTTGCCTTCTGCAGGGGAGTTACAAAGCTAAAATCATAATGATGAGGAGACTCCGGTGAACGCTCGTTCTCCGGTGGGAGTGAGAGGGAGAATAAGCCCATCATAAACTCAGGCCATTGAGGCCTGACATAACGGGGAATGGATTTCTCCTTCATTGCTTTCTGTGTTTCCCCCTTCATTTCCCTTTTAAAATGGGAGAGCATATCAAATGAGCCCTCTCTCCCTCAAGGACTGTTTCAATCTCTTACATGTTTTGATATTCATTTCTGTGGGTTGGCTGTTTTATTTTTATTTTTGGACAGTGGCTTGGGTAGTGGTAGGTATAATTAAGAGGTAAGAGAGAATTTTAGTTTTACAGTTTATGCTAAATAGCCAAAATAAATGAGGTTACGAGCTCTTTGGGCAAAGCCTTTTTTTTCTTTTCTTTCTTTTTTTTTTTAGTGCTTACAGTACTGACCATTTTGTTGGCCTTCAACAACTAATTATGGTAGGAACCGACACACATGGTGTGCATTATTTAGATCACACTTTAATGCCAGCATTTTGGCTTGTGCAGACTTGCCCAAATCAAGGTTTTTCCCAGAAGTGACAAACCTTCTTTCCCAGAGTGTATCAGATGTTTACGGGGATGGACGGTCTCCTGTCTCTTCCTCATCCCACCAGATCTTTGCTGCCAGGTCAATGTTACTCTGCTACTTCCCTTCCTAGCCTCGAGGGGTAAACGTCCCTTCACCACACGGGGTTTTTTTTGTGTGTGGTGTTTTTGTTGTGGTTGTTACTGCACCCAGCCTCAAATAATTCCTTTCTTTGAGCAATCCTGGCTGGCCTGATAAGACTAGGGCAGTCTCCAGAGACTTCTCTTAAAAAGATTTAGCTTGTCCATTTATGTTTCTGAAAAGCGCTTGCACATGTTAAAAGTTTCCTTGTGCAAACACATGTCAGAGAATGTTTTCTTAGGCTTCAAGAATGTATTTCTTGGCCAGTGGGAAAGTGTAGTCTATAGACTTTAAAATCTGAACTCTGAGATAATCTTTACATGATCAATTGCTTGCTGGTTTAGTTCAGCGACCTCTTCGATATTGTCAGCTCCAATTAGATGTGCAGTTCTGCTCTTTTGCCATTTCCCCTGGATTCCCTGACCTGCCCCAGGGACCCTGTATTCAGAGCTGGCAGTTACTGTCAGTACCTCCTTGACAAGAGGTTTCAGGGTAAGCCGGGTGGCGAGCTGAATCAGAAGCGAAGACAGGAGCATTTCCATTGTGATTCTGCACTGGCTTCCCAAGAGGAGGAGAAAGAAGACCCAGGTTAAGCAGAGCCTGAAAACAAAAACCCTGCATCTTCTTCTTGACCAATGTTAATTTCAGACTGTTTGGAGCTGGAATCCTTGGTCATATGATGGAGACAAACTGGGTGGCATATTCTAAGATTCTTTCCCCTATAAGATAGAGAATTATTTACAAATGCTTCAATTTAAGGGCTTATGCATTTGGGGGGAACTTTTAATTATTCTATTCATCGATCAAGAAAATGGAGTGGCAGGATCTGAACCAATCATCCAAAGGCTCAAATGAGGTTTTTTTACCTTTTATAAAAATCAAGATTGTGTGGGCTGAGATTCTAAGCAATGGTGGGAATAGGTCATGGGTGCCTACTAATCTTGCTTGCATTTCCAGCATACAGTTTGGGCCTTCAGTTAGTTGCCATTTAAACAACAGAGCCATATCAATGAGGCAGAGATTTTCAACGCCTGGGCAAGAGTGGAGGGCATGAGGAACCAAATGATTTGTCCAGAAGGCGCAATGCCCAGCAGACAAGATAAAACACACAGACGTGGACTCATCCACCTAGGGGCCCCAGATCCTTAGATGTGTCATCCTTTTTTTGTGTGAACCTTGCCGGTGGGGTGTTTGGGAGTGAGAGCTGAGTATATTATCCCCAGGGGCTTGGGGGTTTTGTCTTCTCTTCTACCGTGAGATCACCTGATTGCGTCCTGCTAGAGGATGTGGATCTGTTTCACAGTAATCATTGTACTGAGCCAAGGAGTCGAGAGGAGCCATAGGGAAGGAAAACTCTGTCGCTCTTTTTCTGTGTAGGAGTTTGTGATCAACACGCCATGTGAAAATGCTGAGAAGATGTACATTGGAAATGCGATGTATGGGAATTATGCCGCAGTCTTCGCTCAACTCATCGTAAACGGAAGATCGCAAGGTTTGTGCTGGTGCAGAGAGCTAGAATAATTCTCTTTACTCTTACTACTTTCCAGCAAGCACTTTACCTTGAAAGTGCACTTTACAGCACTGGTTTTATCTTGTATAAACTCAGTGCCAACTTTATTTCTTCAGTATACACGGTGACTGAATTTATTATGACAGTTCGGCATTACAGTCGTCCCCTCCCCCCTTACGTGCAGTTTTGCTTTCCACGGTTTCAGTTACCTGCTGTGCGCTGCAGTCTGGAAGCAGATGATGGTCAGAGGGTTGGTACTAGTGTCACACCCTGTCGCAGCACCGACCTCATTCCTGCTCCTCCTCTCATCGTGTAGGAAGGAAAACACATGGCATGTGTAGGGCTCGGTACTTTCCTTGGTTTCAGGCATTCACCCCGGGCTTGGAATGTATCCCCTGTGGACACGGGAGGACTACAGGATACACTGTTATATGCAGTGCCCAGTGCTAGAACTGACTGAATTTCAGGATCAACACACTTTGTAGACTGTTCCAGGAAATGAATAAAGCTTTATTTTATTTATTTATTTATTTTTAAGATTATTTATTTATTTATTTATTTGAGACAGAGAGAATGCGAGAGAGAGAGAGAGCACATGAGAGGGGGGAGGGTCAGAGGGAGAAGCAGACTCCCTGCCGAGCAGGGAGCCCGATGCGGGACTCGATCCCGGGACTCCAGGAGCATGACCTGAGCCGAAGGCAGTCGCTTAACCGACTGAGCCACCCAGGCGCCCAATGAATAAAGCTTTAATCGTAGCTTTAGAAAAGAGAATTTAGCTACTGTCTCTCTGCCTTCCTCAGGGCCCCACTGTTTCATCGTTCCCATCCGCGATGAAAACGGAAGCTTGTACCCAGGAGTGACAGCTATTGATATGATGTACAAGGAAGGTGAGTCCCCAGGTGACACCACTTCTACCCTCATTTGCACTTCCTGTGCGCTCCCTGCCCCATCCAAGGAGGGTCTAACCTAACTCACCAAGACGGTGAAGGCAGAGATTCTTTGATTTTGAAGCCTGATGAAAGTCTTTTATGTCACAACTGTTGGGGAATGTTGAAGATTGCCATTTATGAATATGCATTGGTCTTATTTTCTCCCAGCCTCTCGTATTTTCCAGTTGTGGGGCAGCTTTCCCCTGAGTAATTTCGCCTCCTCTCCTCTTCTTGGACTTGTGGGCTCTCACACGGCAGGTTGAGGCTCTCTTTTTCCTGCCCCTGAGCCACAGCCTGGTGTTGGTGCCTAGGAGGCCCTTGATGAATCCCGAGGACTGACTCGGGGGACGAGTTTGCTGTTGTAACCCAGGCTGAGCGGCTTAAACAACAGAAATGTATTGGCTCATGGTTCTGGAGGCTATACGTCCAAGATCAAAGTGATGGCAGGGTTGGTTCCTTCTGAGGGTTGTGAGGGAGAATCTGTGCCAAGCCTCTCTCCTTAGCTTGTAGATGGTGTCTTCATGCTTGCATGGTGTTCTCCCTCCTTGTGTGCATGTCTGTGTCTAAATTTCCCCTTTTTATAGTTTTATAGTCCTTTGGATTAGGGCAACCCTAATGACCTCTTTTAATTTGATTATCTCTGTAAAGACCCTGTCTACAAATAAGGTCACATCCATAAGTACTTGGGTTTAGAACTCAAACGTGTGAATTTTTGGGGGCTGCAATTCGACCTATAACAATTGGTGAGAGCAGGCCATACCTGTGGGCCCCACTGGTTGTCCCCAGCCAAGGCCAAACCAAGCCAAAGAAACAGGTGGGAGAAGAAGGAAAAAGAAACAAGAAAAAAGGGGGAAGAAGATGATTCTTTGGTGGAGGTGATCGTCTCACCTCGGCCCTCAGTGTTTACCGACCACTGCCACAGCTGCGGGAATGGGCTGCAGGTGGGGTTGTGAGTGCTCTCACTGTATCTGAGGCCCTCGCTGGCCTTGTCCCTTGAAAGCACCCATCGAGTCAAGTGTTGATGAGAGCAGAGGGCCCAGCTCTTGTGAAGTGGTGCCAGACATTTAAAACACTGGCAACTTCAGAAAGTCTGCTTTGATTTCTTGTAAGCTCCTAAATGTAACTGTATCCTTGTTAAGGGGTGATGTTCCAAATAAAGACGTTTACTAAAGATTTTTTTTTTTTTTCCCGCAGCTCAAATCTTCCCAAGTGTGAGATAAACAAAAAGTAGACCCCAGACCCTGACAGGCATCATTAGGAAACAGGTCCGGCGGTTTTCAGGAACCTTCTGGGGAGTCGGGTCTCTGGCCCCAGTCACTCACAGCTGTCCTTGTCTTTTTAGGCATTTGACTTAACTACCCCTTGTTCTCGGAAGGAAGCCCTGGGAGGGAGGAGAAATTTGACTTCTGTATTACTGGGGGAGTAAGTGGCTTTCTTGGCTCCTCTGCGTTTGCCCTGGCATTCCTTCTGATGCCTAGAGCTCCTCCTTTCCAAGTCGCAGCACCCAGATCCTCCACCTAAGCCCAGGAGCACAGAAGGCTCAGCTCTTCGAGAAGACCGACAGAGAGCGTCCCCGCCCCCACCCCATCTAGAGAAGCATCAGCCATCCTGGGAGTAAAGGGAAGGGTTTGGGATTTTAGTGGAGAAGTAGCAGGAAAGTAGTTCTGATGCTAGCGCGGATTTGTCCCCTGCAGCTGTTTTCTGCTCTCTCTAGGTCTGCACGGTGTGGATAATGGGATTTTAATATTTCACAAGGTTCGGATACCAAGGGAGAACCTGCTGGATAAGTGAGTACTTTTCACTTTAACTCAGATTGGCTGTGCGTATGATCTCATTGTTCTCCCAAGCTAGGCCTGGCGCCTGGGTCTCATGGGCTGCACGTCCAGGCTGTCTGCCAGCCCCTCCTACAAGTTTATTGACCATCCATTGGAAAATGTAGATAAGAAAACAGAAAAAAATTAAAATTATCCAAAATGCTATTACCCAGACATAATGATTGTTATGCACACTTGAATGTGTAACTCTCTATAGACTTTTTTTCCAGGCTGGTATATCAACAGAGTGAGGTGTGTTTGATTTTTACTGAATGAAAGCCACTTGTAAATTCTATTTTTTACAACTCATAATTTCTGTTTAACATATGTCAGATGTTTTTATGCAACAGGAAATACCTATATACATTTTCATTTTCAAATATGGCCATAATAAATAAATGATCTATAATTTATGTAATCTATCCTTATTGTTGGGCAATTTAGATTGTTTCCTTAAATTTTTTTGTTGTTGTTGCTATTACACACCAGGTAGTGTTCTTGCCTCCTTTGTGGGTGGCAGGAGGTAAGGTACCACCTTTCCGCTTAGGAGGCTCTTGTAACCAGTGCTGCTTGGATGGATGGATAATGTCAGAGGTGCTCAGTGTCATTTCCCAGCATCCCACTGACGTCAGGGTGGGTTAAACGATGAGGAGAAGGCTGCTTCTTCAGGGGCATTTTAGGGGTGGAGCTCTGGGGGTTCACATTACACTTTGCAGAGGCCAAGAAACACCAATTACTATGACTTTTCTCAACAGCATTTCATGTATCCAATAAAAATCCTGACCTATATGCATATTGAAATCTGTGAAAAAGCTAGCAATCAAGCTCTGCATAATCAGCTTTACTCTAGATTTTCCTATAACACTTCATTCCTTTTCTTTGCCTGCACACTCTTGCCAGCAGATAAATGTCATAGATGCCAAAAGTTTAAGAAAAATATGTGGGAAACAAATTCTGTTAACCAACCCCCTGCTCCCCAGGGAATTGGTAGGAAATAAAATGGAAATGTCGAAAGCATCTTTGCAGTTATCCTGGTGTGTGGGGAAGCCTTTAGGTCCCCTCAGGAGCCACCAGTGCCCATGACAGCAGGTCTGAGCACCATCAGCCTTCCCCAGAGGTGCCTGCACATTTTCCAGTCACTTGGCTGCAGCACTACACTCTGGGAGATGGGGAAGAGGGAAGGAAAGCTATAGATGTAGAGCTCCCCATGTGTCCCAACTTTATGAGATCTCAGTGGCCTGGCCAGTCTGCCAGAAGCTGGATCCATTGGCTCATTCTTCATCCAATGCAGATTAGAGATTAGAAAGTTAGATCCAGCCAGAAAAAAAAGTGATAGTGAGCTACATGGTCTGTAGAAGATAGGAGAATATATGGATTTTTTTTTGATAAGCAGGGTTTTATTTTGAGCCATTCTATTGGCACTTAAACTGCCCCCGATATGCCAGAGAACAGCAGTGGAAACACAGGCATTTTGAAGGAGGAGCCCCATTTTGGGGGTGTTGATAAAAAGTGGATCAGTAAATAGATGTTCAGATTCATTGCAATCCCTGTCAAAATCCCAGTTGCTCCCCCCGCTTTTTTTTTTGCAGAGATTGAGAAACTGATCTTAAAATTTATATGGCAACACAAGAGAGTCAGAATAGCCAAAACAATCTCGCTAAAGAAGAACAAAGTAGGAGACTCACACTTCTGATCTGAAAATTTACTACAAATTTACAGTAGTTAAGACGGTGTGGCAGTATAGTGGATCCCCCTGAAAGCTGGTGGGAAGTAAAAAAGAAAAAAAAGGAAAAAACCCATTGTGGTATTGGCATAAGGATAAATAGGTAGGCAATGAAATAGAATGGAGAGTCTAGGAATAAATTCTTACATTTATGGTAAATTAATTTTCAACAAGGATAATAAGACTATTTAATGGGGGAAAGAGTAGTCTTTTCAACAAATGGTGCTGGGACAACTGGACATCCACATGCAAAAGCATAAAATTGGACTCTTATCCCATATACAAAAATGAACTCAAAATGGATCACAGATAAAATGTAAGGGCCAAAACTGTAAAGCTCTTAGAAGAAAGCATAGGTGTGAATCTTTGTGGCCTTGATTAAGTACCAAAAGCATAAGCAGCCAAAGAAAAAAAAGAGATAAATTGGACTTCATCAAAATTAAAAAACTTTTGCACCTCAAAGGACACTATGAAAAAGTGAAAAGACAATGCACAGAAAGGAAGAAAATATTTGGAAATCACATATATTGTAATATGTATGATACATATATATCATCTATATCATTTGCAAATCATATATATATATACACATATATATATGCTATATATATATAGAGCATCCAGAATATAAAAGGAACTATTACAGCTCAACAATTAAGACAAATGACCCAGTTGAAAAATGGGCAAAAATCTGAATAGACATTTCTTTGAAGAAGATATGCAAATGGCCAGTGAGCACATGAAAAGATGCTCAACATCATTTGTCATTAGGGAAATGCCAATCAAAACCACAATGAGATATCACTTCGCACCTGCTCAGATGGCTATAATAAAAGAGACAGACCATAATAACGGTTGGCGAGGATGTGGAGAAATTTAAACCCTCATACATTGTTGGGGATGAAAATGGTGTTGCTGATTTGGAAAAGAGTTTGGCACTTCTTCAAAAGTTTAAATTTTTCATATGAGCCAATTCTGCTCCTAGGTATGTGTGAAAACATTGTTCACAAGAGAATTGAAAACATGTCTGCACTAAAATGTATACACAATTGTTCATAACATAATTATTCATAATAGCCATAAAAGGGGAAACAACCTAAATATCTATCAACTGATGAATGGATAAACAAAATATGTGTATCAGTACAATGACTTATCATTGGGCCATAAACAGGAATGAAGTACGGACATGCCACAACATGCATGAACCTTGAGAACAGTGAGCTGAGTAAAAGAAGGCACACACAAAAGCCACATATTATATTTTTTCACTGATGGGAAACATCCAGAATAGACAAATCCATAGAGATAGAAAGTAGATTAATGGGTGCCAGGGCCTGTAGTATGATGAGTATGGGGAGTGACTGCTAATAGTATGAGGTTTCTTTTTGGGGTGATGAAATGTTTTGGAATTGGACAGTGGTAATGGTTGTACAAGTTTGTGAATGTCCTAAAAACCACTGAATTGCACATTTTAAAAGGGGGGATTTTATGGCATGTGAATTATATATCAACAACAAAAGAGTGGATTGATATGTGTGGTCTTCACATTCAGGCTCCAGTGTTGGTTTAATGATGGTGGTCCTCATGCTTCTTTTTGCCAGGGGCCCCTGCTGAGTCACAGGTTGGTGGTGGCACAAAACCTGCTTTTACTTTCCATGAGTCAAGCCTTGGTCAGGATCTCCTGGGGAGACTCTTCCCCCATCCCCGACTCTGATGTCTCATGAGGGTAGTTCCTGGATCTGGAAACCCTGTGTGTGCATATGGCATCATTTCTAGTGGTGCCATGTTCTTCTTTTTTGTTAACCCTACTCCTCTTTTCCACCTGCCTCTTCTCTACCATAGGTTTGGTTCTGTGGCTCCAGATGGGCAGTACCATTCCCCTATTAAGAACAAGAGTGCAAGATTCAATGTGATGCTGGCAGCGCTGACCCCTTCGAGATTAGCTGTGACTTTCCAAGCTATGGGTGCCATGAAGGTAGTTGACTCTGATTTTAATTTATATCATGGTTTATTCTCTGCATCTTCCAGGGGTGGGTAACAATTTCAGGAGCTGAGCATCCTGAGCCACAGTTGGTATAATGTGGCTAGGGTTAATGGTTAGATACTATTAAGTGCCAGTTGGCCACACACAGAGAACATTTCTGCACCCTTATCATGGGATCCTATCCATCTACATCTCAGATGTGCTGCTGATTATGGTGGGTGGAACATAGGCATTGTGGTAAAAGAGCCACGAAGGATGAACTTGGGGGGACGGGGTCATTCAGATCAAATGCCTCTGCTAGAAAAGCAGGGAAGGCCGGCGTGTCTCAGCTGAGTTCATTGGGGAGCTTTGATGGTCACATGGCTGTTTGGAGTATGGCATTCAGCATCACAAGTTGGAGTCCATGAAGCCAGATCCCTAGAAGGCATCTCTACCTCCCCTCCTCTCACACCTTCCCAAATACTGATTTGGAAAGAGCAGGCAGGAGAGGAAAGTTCTGGAAGGGCCTTCTCTTCCTTCTCCTCCTCCTCTTCCTCCTCAAGGCTCAGCATTGTCTGTTCTCTGGGCCCTTTCCTTCTCTTTGCATGAGGGAAAAACCTGCTTTAAGCTCCACTGAGCTTGGTGAAGCTGGAAGAAAAATTAAGAAACCCATGAATATACATTGTGGCTCGAATCCAACTTTTCCATCAAGAAGGAATAAATTTCATTCACCTGACTCCAGGCCTCACATCAGCACACAGTTGTCTGATGAGCAGGAAAATTCTTCTTTACTCCTTTCCACCGGGTTGGTCCTGCTTCCCAGGAAGCCTGCCTGACAGGAGCTGCCCTGTGTTTTGCGTTTCCTGCCAGTTGGTACAGTTGTGCTGCTGTAAATACCCACGCTCAGTACGAAGCCAGAGACCTCATGCCCATGGGCACCGCATCCTGCGGTTCTTAAAGGGTGTTGAGTTCGAAGTCCCGAATCAGGAACAGCTCAGCTGGTCGGTCCCCTTGGCTGAATCGTCCGACAAATGAATGAGGCCCCAGGGAAGCCTTATGATGAAGGCACAGAGGTGAGGCCAAGGCTCTTGCACAGGATTGGAGTGCTAAGGAAGACTTCTTCTTCAAGTCCGTAATAGAAACCATTTCAGCCATTTGGGGACTCCAGAAGGAGGCAAAAGGAGAGAAGTCAGTGAGCTGAGAATTACACTGTAGAGAAGCTGGGACAAAAATCCGACCCAGGATTACCTGGTGCCTTGATGGCAGTCTGCACAACAGCCCCTCTGCTGGCAGTGGCCTTGGGGGCTCGGCAAACACCAAAGCCCCTGCTGGCTGCTGTGGCATATGCAGGTGGCGCAGAAAGCCTGTGCTTGATGTCTCTGAGGGGGTGGTGGTGCGTGGAGGACGCCCACGCTGCCAGGAGGCCCATGAGCTCTTCCAGGCTTCTGGTGGAGTCCTGAGGGGCAGGCACAGGGTAGCAGAGGCAGGGAAGCAGCAGGGCCTTCTGGAAGAGACTATGTTTTTCAGCATCACCAGATCTGGAGCCGGGAGGGTGAGGGAGAGAGACCATGGCTGATTTTTAAGAGGTCCTCATTCTCCATTCTACCAAACATTGGCAACGTGAAGCCTTATCTTGATCATAGAACAGAGAACCGAGGGCTCAAATCTCAGCCAGGACTTGACCAGCAGTGGGGTCGTGGGCGAATCAGGAGGCCTCGTTAAGCCTCAGCTTCTTCGTCTGTACAATGGACCTTGCGATAATGGTGAGGCAGGAGTGAGTAGAGGTATGTGCGGCACTGGCCCAGAGCGAATGTTCCGTAGCTCAGAGCTGTTACTGATGTGATGCCTGGGGTCACTGCTGCTGTTACTGGGAAGATAGGTGTTAGCTGTAAGACAGGAATAAGTGGGCTTTTATTGAAACACAGGCCACCCTGGCCTCCAGGTAACAAGGCAGTCCGAAAGGTTTTGCAGAAGTGCGCAGTTTCCTTTGGATTCCCGTGCCTCTGAAGCAAAACAGAGTGGCTGTGAGTCAGCACCTGCCCTGCCCAGGAGGCAGATTTGCCCAGTGACAGGGAGATCCCCTCGTGGAGCCTGTGAGCCCTGGGCGCTGCGTGGTGCGGGCACCGTCGATGAGGTCGGCCCTGATGGTCAGCGACCCTGGCCATTGTGATCTCATTGCGAACGTCTCGGGCGGGGATGATCTCACCAGCCCTCTTGGCATCTCCTCCTCTCCTATGGCTCAAACACATGACAGATGTTTTCTCGGCTGAAACCTAAGACGGGCCTGCTTGTTCTGTTCTCGCTGATGGGTGGAAAAATGGATCCTTTTCTCCTACGTGCATTCCTTATGTATTAGAAAACTGTCACCGCGGCTCCCCATGGTGACATTTCCTCAAGGCTGAGCATGCCTGGGCCTTTTAAACTTTGCCCAGATGTCTTATTTTTCATGGTTATCTCTCATTTCCATAGTTTCTCAGTACTTCCAGATTTTCTCTTAAAGTCTTGCCTTAATAGCCTTCCTCCAATTTGTGTCCAAAGCGTTGTGCCAGATTAGATGATTAGCAGGAACAAAAGGAAAAGGAAACCAAGACATTTGGCCTGGGTGGGAGGTGGGGGCTCGGGAGAGCTCTGCAGCCGAAGTCGGGAGGCTGGGAAGCCTTTTCAGAAGGAGAAAGGAAGCTGGGGAAAGTCACTGTGAGTTCGGAGGCGGAAGTAGAGGGAGTGTGAAATGTGAAGGAGGTCTAGCCCATTGTTTTGGGTTGATTTTTGCATGGAAGTAAGTATTTCAGCATAAGACAAACTTGTTCCTCACTCTCTAAAGAGTCTCCCTAGTCTTTTAAAGTAGGTGCTACACAGTAGCAGAGGGGCCCTTCCCCAGAGTTCTGAGCAGTTCTGGGTGAGGGTGGGGCCAGGTCCGGTGAGTGTGCATTTCCAGCAATTTCCCTGGTGATGCGGACATTACTGGTTGGGCACCACATTTGGAGAACCCCTGCACAGAGCAGATGGATACAGTCATAGATTCCTGGCCCCATCCCAGCCACCTTGTCCCCGTCCTAGGCACCCTGTGCCTCCAAGATCATGGCCCACGTTCTCTGCCTATCTCCAGCCCCTTGCATGACTTCTCACCCGGCCTCCCTCTCACATGCCTGTGCTGCCTAGCGTGCCCACCCCCACTTTTCACATGATTAGTGTTCATGTACAAGTCAGCACTCAGGCGAGTGTCCTTCTTCAGAAAGGTCACAGCCGACATGTGGTCCCTCTGTCATGTTTTCAAGGCCCTGTACTCCCCCTTGCAGCATTTATTATGGTTTTGACCAGCTAAGGGTGTGATTGGCTGTTTCTGTGTCCTTGCCAGCCTAAAAGCTCCACGCAGCCAGGACCCTGCTGGCCGCATTCCCTGCTGGGTCTTCAGCTTCCCACATGGCATGGCACGAAGTAGGAACACAGTAAATAGGAGTTGGTGGAATGAATGAAGAATGAATCAGGGGTGCCCGCGTGGCTCAGTTAAGTGTCTGCCTTCAGCTCAGGTCATGATCTCAGGGTCCCGGGATCGAGCCCCAAATTTGGGCTCCCTGCTCAGTGGGGGGTCTGCTTGTTCTCTCTCTCTCAGATAAATACATAAAATCTTAAAAAAAAAAAAAAAAAAGAATGAATCAGAATTCACAAATTGAACACTTGACATAGTTCTTAGGAGAGGTAAGTGTTCAATGCATGTTTATCCTGTGCCCCACACCCCTACCCCTCAGCTCATTCCAGTGTGGCAGGAAAGAAAGATGTTGCTAACTCTTCCTTCTGACTCTACACGTAATATGTGCTTTACAGGCGTTAACTTATTTCCCCTCATAACAGCTCTGAGGGGGTTCCATTGGTATGTGGGGAAACTAAGGCATGAGGAGGTTAAAGAATTTGTCCAAGGTGGACACTGAATATACACAGGTTGACTCTGCTGGTCCTTGTTAAGGGAGATGGCCCCATATTTGGAAGGATGGTCATAGCATGTTGTGTAGATAAGATTGACACGTAGATATTACTGAAAGATATGGTTGGATTCAGTGGGACAGGGGCAGGCCAATGCAGTACATGGAGACTAAGAAGCTGGAGGTGCTTGGGCATGTTCATGAGCTGCTGAATTAGCTGAGTTACAGCTTTGGGTCATAGAAGGTCACGAGCTGGCCTGTGAATCATTGGGTTAGGAAGACTCTCACCACAGCCCTTAACCAGGACTGCATCTGGTAGGAGCCATGCTCCTCCTCATCACCTTATCCTAGTGCCAGTGCTGAGGCAGGCAAAGGGAAGATGCCCCACATAAAGTTGTTCGGGTGAGATGTGTGGGATTGACATGCATGGAAACAGCTGGAATGTTGTGCTTACTGTAGACCACAGCAAGGCCATTAACAGCATGGACTCTGGAATTGGCTTTTTGGATTTGCAGCCTGCTTCTGTTTGACCTCGGCAAGTTACTGAGCCTCTCCACACCTCTAAATATAATGATAGCACTCCCTCCTAGAACTGTTGTAAGGCCTGGGTGGGTCAGTACCTGGAAGGGGCTTCTACAGTACCCGCATACACTACGTCGTCCATACGTGGAAGCTGGTATTACATTATTATAAGGGATGTGGGAGCTTATATAATCAGGTTCAGTACTATTGATCATGAAAACGACATCGGAGGCTATGAGGATACCACACTCCATTGGTAACACATGCTCAGCCCTCTGTGGTAGTGGTGCTTGAGCTAACAGTAGGGACTTATGAGGCTGAGCCTGGATGTGGCTGAAAGCTGTCTGTGGTCACGGTTGGCTGTGGATATGGGATGGGGAGAAGAGAGGTCCGTGCCATCTGACTTTCTTCCTGGGGTTTAATAAAGGACACATGGTCCCGAGAGAAGAGTGAGGAGAGTGAATGACCATCTTTGAGTCATAAAAGGTTGCGGTATGTATGATGGTGGATAACTTTTCCCATTTCCTGGGGCTGAAGGGAGAGCAAAGGGAAGAAATTGGTTTCACATGGGAC